TCCCCCCCCCCCAGTTAACTATGTGTTTTAAGTTTCTTCAGCATGGTATTCTAGTTGAGGATTAAAAAAGAAATCCAGTATTTCAGTTCCCTTTTTTAACTACACGAACTGAAAACACACTCTGTACTGTATGTGGTTTCAAAAGGAAATTCTCAAATATCTGAGGTTTAAAAAAAAAAATAAATACTGTGTACCAGAGATGGATAAGGGAGAAGGTCACAGGAAAAGAATACAGAAGATAATTTAGAGTTCTGGAAAGACATGAGGACACTGAAAGGGAAGATAAAGTAAAGCTGCTAATCATCATAGTTTAACACAGCAGGAAGAGCTTCATTTAATTGAAGTATTCTTGAAAGTGTAAGATCATTAACACATTGAAAAATAATGGTGTTCATCTTTAAAATGTTAGTACTTCCTTTAAAAGTGCATCTTAAAGTGGAAAAAAAAAAAGAAACTAACAAAATACAACCAAATATGAACAACAGCAACGGGATAAATAGATAATCTTTCTTTTAAAATAAACGAGCAGTGTGACTGTTACAGTATTGCAGATTTTTAATCTTTAACTTGCTGCTTTTCTGATGATTCTTGGGGTCTTTTTGAAGAATCAGGGGCCATGCAGAAAAAAAGGGAACTAAATGTGATGCTGCAATCCAGATGGGATATGACAGCAGTAGTTCTTATCTACAAGATAAATATCCAGCCTTAGTAACTGAAACAAAACAAAACATTTTCTAAATATCTGAATGCTAATGAAACTGTGAGCTGCAGTCAGTTACAGGTTTATAACCAGTCAATATATCAGACAATTTAGATTATGACTTTTATAGAATTTTTTCAGTGGTTCCTTGACGTTGCCCTACATCCTCATTTGCGTAAGTGAGCCTCACAAAAGTTACTGAGTTCACTCAAGTGATCGAGGACTGGTTGGTAGTCAAGTTTTGTGGGAGGCCTTTTAGAAAGGCAAGTGAAAGTGATGTGTGGATTTTAATGAGGGTGAAAGACCACACAGTGACAGTACTAAACAATTAAGTGTTTCTTTGAGTCAGGTTTTCATTGAAGTACCAGATGGTCTGGTGGTAGATCGCGTTGTATGTAATGTGGCATGTCTACTAAAAGGCATCTGACTGTCATGTTTATTACATTTGCAGATACTGTACTGTATCAGAGTATGCAGAAGGTACATCAGAATAAATAACACAAGCGGACTACAGAAAAGTAGAAATGTAGGAAGGATGAAATGAAATTGGGTATTTTTGACAACAAAAGTTTTTGCTTGGGAGGAATAATCTGAAACTTAGGTACCCATTGGAAAGAATGAGCCTGTGAAGCAGCAGTGGCTGAAGGACAGGGACCTTACAGTATGTGAATTGTTGGCAACCTAATCTTGAATTTGCAATGTAAATGACAAGAGTAGAGAGTTAGTAATGTGCTGGGCCATGTAAACAAAATTATTTACGTACTATAGAGAAATGAAGTCGTGTCTTTATATGGCCCTTGTATAATTGCCACAGGACACCTTCTAGCAGAATCCCTTAGGAAACCATCAGAAAAATATCAGTGAATAGGATTCTAAAAACCAGCCAAACCTATTCTAAATTTTTACGGGGAATTGAGGCGTAGAGCAGGAAAGAAGGATTTAGGTCCGTACAACTTGTGCAAAAAAAGGGAGATATTGTTAATATTTACCAGGAACAGAGAAGTCAAACCTCAAAGAAGGCAAAAAATTGTCTGCGATGATAAAAGTATGAGCTATTTCTGACTGCTTCATTTAGAAACGATCACGTTCCAGTACTGCATTTGGTACACTGTTAGCCCTAATAACAGCATGACCTTACTGTCACATAGCTCCTCCTCTTCTGTTCCTTGTTTCACTGATGTGGAGTACATTGAAATAATGGAAAATGAGGCTGGAAGGGATACTGAGGATTGTGTATTCCATTTCCCTTTCCAGTTCTAACAAAGATATTTTTGACCAATGTTTTCTATTTTTTTCTTAAACACTGCCAGTGAAAGAGATTGTAAACGTGAACACAGGGAGTGCAGAGACTTTGGACTTTTCTGTACTCTCTCACTGCCTGGAACAGCGTGACTCTAAATCTCTCCAGGTCTCCAAGCGCTATCATAACAATGAAAAGTAGAAGACAGAACAGGAAATGCTGAGTGAGATTAAGAAAAGGTGTATACTAGAAGAAAGCCTGTGACAGGAAGATCTTCTAGGCAATGGGGAACTGCTCTGGGGAGGCAGGGAGCATGTATTTGGGAAGCTTAGAACCATTGTAGATAAAGCACAAGTACATGCCTGGAGGCAGTAGTCTTGGTCTGACTGTTAATTATCTGCATTTTGGCTTTTGAACCATTTGTATTTAACACATGGATTATGCTGGTTTATAATTAAATGTTGATGTGCTTTAGATAGAAAATCTGATTCTGATAGCTCTATGCTTGGAAGACTGTTGGATGAGTTGTGCCTTTCTATTTCAATATTACTACTGCAGATCATCTTCCTCTCCAAGACCGCAGACGTCTCCAGGAAGGTGGAGACATTTGGTGACATGCATCTCTTTCCGTTTACCCAGAACATGAGAAATAACAATGCTTTCCCTTAATTTATAAGGGGTTGGTAGCTCCGTTTAGACAGAAAAGTTAATGTTTCTGCTTAGTCCAATTTATTCTTTTGATTTTCTTGCTTCTCGTGTGCTGCTTCTCCCTAGTTATGGCTGCAGGGCACGTACAGGAATTTGCATGCTTCACTGACTATGACAAAGAGCTGGTTTGTCACTGGAAGGTGCCTGCACAAACGAATTGCTCCAAAGAATTCCTGCTCCGCTACGGGGAGGAACATTGTGAGCAGTAAGTGTTTAATAAGATTTTACATTATCGTAGTTGGAACTTCATATATCCTATAGCCATTATTAGTTTTGATTCCCTCCCTCTACCATGGGTGTCTGGGACAAAATGTAGTCCAGATTATTATTCTTGCCAGGAGGAAAATGGGTTGCTGCAATTAACAGCATGCTCTGTTCAGTGGTCTACTCTTCCGGAGACCTCTCTTCACTCTTAGTACAGAGAAGTGATAAAGTCCTACTTGAAGGAGTGGTAGGGCTCTCATAAGTTTACCCAACATTCATTTCATGAGAAATTTTAGCTCCTTCACGAGAAATCTTACCTGATTTACCAGTCTGTAGCCTGTGTGACAGGTACGTTCCCCTGGAGCCCAGGTGATCATCTGTGCGTACAGTCTAACTCCTTGTTCAAGCACAAACTGTTGTCCCTGTTCTGCAGCAGGGCCAGTCATCATCTCCTACAAAGGAAGATGCATCTGGGCTCTCCTGTTCCTCTCCATATGATTTCTCCACACAGATATCCAAATAACCTCGCTTTGTACACTGTGGCAAACCTGTTCCTACACTAGCAAGCTGTCAGTCCGCTCCTTCAGAGGTTGAACTGTGATGAAAGGTGTTAATTTTTCCTCTTGGGATGAATCCTTAGCCTTTCTGTCAAGTTTTCATTTGTGCGATACAGATGTCGAGGGGGTGTTTGGGAAGGGTGGGTTGTTTGGGAGAGCTCAGTTTTGGTTTGGATTTGTTTGAGCTGAACGTTTCTAGGAACTGAGCTCATTTGTCTCAGATTTGATTACCTCTACACATTGGGAAGCTTGATTTCACCTTTTCAAGAAATAGTATGCCACACTCTCTAAATATCATGTAATTTTCTGCTTGTTTTTTCAGAGATCATGTGTGTGTTCCTGTGAATGGAAAAGACAGTTTAAGGTGCACTTGCACAATATGTCAGGATTATTTTGTATCAGCTCTCACGTATAGTCTATCTCTACAGTTCAACGGGAGGGACATGTGGAATTACAGTGTTACACCAGCCCTGGTTGGTAAGAAACTGTTTACTTTGTCACCAGGAAGGACATCTGGCTCCACGCTTTGCAATCCTAGCTAACTCCTCATTCACGTCACTGAAACAGTTTTTGCTTATCAGAGGTGAAAAGTGCCATGCTGGCTTGAATGCAAAATCCATTTGGCATAGAAACCCGATTCTGGACTAGATTCTTAAGGAAAGAGTATAAGTAATGGGGCAAGCGGAGAGTGATTCTTCTTCTAGCTGTACCCTCTCAGCTGCCAGCCGGCAGTTTGGGGGCTTAGACGTGTCTTTAGTGCATTTTACTTGTGGCTGTAGAATTCAAGGATGAAGAGGAATGTGCTACTTCCAGTTCCTAGAAAGACACTAGGCTATCCCTACTGAAATGTCTTCCGTTCCGGTCTCTGTCATACTCTAATTTTTCAGGCTAGTTGAATCATCCCCCTGGACAGAGATTTTTACAGTAATTGCTCTTGGATTATAACAACCAGTGATAAAAAGCTAATGACTCTGCTCTTTCATAGGACAGAGCATAGATAGTTTATTTCTCTCTATAGGCACCTAGTTTATTTAGAACAGTGTGCTTGTTCCTAACACTTGTCACCTCAAACTCTCAGAGAAATCATTCACGTATCTTAGGCAGGCATTCATCTGCATCCGTGAGCTGGCTTTTTTCAGAATGCTTGATTGTTGCTGCTGCTTATCAGCAGAATAAGCAGGACCCTGCATCAGTTTCGAAGAGACAGGTAGCCAGGACAGCCTGGCTGCGAAGCTGTCAGAAGCTCTGTGCCTACCCCGCGGCACAGCATGCTATTGTGAGGGCGCAGGTTGCTCCCATTTTTCCAGGCTGAAAGCTGCATCCAGGGCACCAAAAGGTTGAACTTGAAGTTTGTTCAGCCAGCTTGAAGATTCAGTGCTTGTTAAGGAATACCTTGCAGTTGCTCTGTTTTTGGCCTCTCTATCCTTGTGCTACAGCATAGTGAAAAGGGCTAAAGGCATTGACTGCGATGAGATTCTGGTCTCTGGTGAATGTTTGTCTCTCTGCTTCTCTCCATCAGTGCTTTCCCATTGCTATATTCTCCTTAATTGTATTTTTTAACATACAGTTAAGCCAAGGGCCCCCAAAAATCTTGCCATTAAGAAACTTGAAAATGGTAATTTCAATCTGAGCTGGGAGGAGAGCTACTCTCCTCCATCCATGCTCTCTGGACACCCGGTCATCTATGAAGTGAAATACTGGAGGAAGCAGCACCCAACAGAGGTAAGAGACAGCCAGTCTCTTCATTTTCTGTCTCTCTGGAGCTTTCAGGTTTAAAAAGTCCTCTGAAAAGTCTTGAAACCATTTCATGATTAATGGTGTAAGGGCCAGCAAGGGCAAGTCCCACAGTGTTCCTGATCATACACTTGCCACAGATCACATTGCCCCAAGGTGGTTCAGCTGGGCTTTAAAGGATTGAAACTCTTCTGACTGCTACCCTCACAGTAGACAGGGCAGAGATTAAAAATACAATGCTTCTGTTCCCTGAACTTCATTTGCTCCTTAGGCCTGAGGAAGCTGGGGGCTGTTCATGACTCTGTGGTGCACTTGAGGCATTTCAGATGCCCTCCTGAACAATCCAGCGCTTTAGGGCTGGACGACTTCTGGTAGGGGAAGAACATGCATGGTGACATGTCGCAAATACCACCCGCTCATGACAACAAAATGTAGTATCACATACAGCAGATTGGGTATACAGTCATTCATTTGCTCATTTGTGAAAGGTCACTGAAACACATAACGCTATTGTTATTTATTATTTGTTGTCACTAACTGTTCACCTCATAAAGAAATCAAAGTGAACTTTCTCATTTTCTTTTCAGGTTTCTGTAAAAGCAATTAACTACCAGGCAAAAAGCTTTGAAATTACTGCAAACTCCTTGAGGAGAGGCTATGATTACGTTGCAAGTGTAAGGTGTAACTATACAGACTACCCAGCCTACTGGAGTGAATGGAGCGAAGAAGTTGAATTTCACTATGGCAAGTATTGTAACAAATAGCTTGATAAAAAGTATGGTATAGTTTTATAAACCATATCGTATAGACTCTGCTGCTGTCCTCTCAGAGGAGAGTTATGGAATCATCATCTTTGTCCTTTTGAATGTATCGTGGATACATCTGTAAAGGCTTCCAAAGAGACTAAAGGTAAAAAGGCAGCTCCTGGGGAAACTAAGGAAAAGACCACCAAAGGAAGTTGGATTGTTTAGCCTTGTGGAAAAAAAAAAAAAGCTGAAAGGGGATGTGTTTATTCTCTATAAATATTTCATGAAGTAGACACCAGGGAAGAGGAAGAGATATTTAAACTGAAGAGCAACATTGACGTAAGAGCAAGTGGATATAAATGAACAGGAGATATTTAGGCTGCGAATTAGGTAATACTTTAACCATCAGAGGGCTGAGGGTTTATAAAAATCTCTGAAGAGCAACAGAGAGGACAAGAAGCACAGCTGAACTACAGTGGAGATGATAGTGCCGTTTTAGGGACTCTGTGACGGATTTGTCCCTGAGAGTTGACAAATGGCCTCCCAGTACATGTTGGCTCTCCCAGCTCCTAACACTCACAGTAACTGCCTGCAGTACCTGCATTGACCTTTCAGACATGCCACACACCATCAGCACTGGTAGCTGCGTATGTTCTGTTGTTTATCTGCCGGAGGCTTTATTTTACATCCTCTAAAGGAGCATTTTTTTAAGGTGCAAAAGAAGAGCAATGGATTTGGTATTGCTAGTACTTGTATTTATATGCACAGACACCTGTAAATGTATATGTTTATTTAACAGATTACCAAGTAACAGTTGAAGACATTCTGCATATGGCTGTTCCCATATCCTGCATACTGATCATGGCAGTATCTGTAATTTGCTACTTCTGTTTTACCAAGTATGTATCATACTCTTCACAGGTTTTATAGAGTGGCAGTTTGCAAAGATATCAATATTGCTATTGATCAGCTGAACATCTAGTAGTACAGGAATCTAATGTTTTGTTTTCCTCAGCACCTTTATCTTGTTCTCTATGAGCAAACGTTTTAGAAACATGCATCCATCACACCCTGTCATTTTCTGAATAGATAACTGAATATTCTCTATTAATCCTACTAGAATGGGCCTGTTATAGCATCCAAAACAGGCTGCAGTTATGGGGTTTGCCAGCTTTGGACCCCAGTCTTCACTGGAGTTCCAGCAAGGTTAATTTAACGAAGGTTAAATACCTGTATTTCTTTTTAAATTTTTTTAGTGGTAATGTGAAAGTGGGATCCTATCTGTTTCACACATCATTTCAAACATGATTAGAACAACATGTGACTGTGGTTGTGCAGAGCAGTCACGCACCAAACATATAAACATCTTTTGTGCTAGTTTAATGAAAAGCGGCACTTGAAGATGCATACAGCAAGCACTTCCTGGTGCTGCAGTGCATACGGCTAAGAGGGAGAGAAGAACAGAAGAGGGAAGTGTACACTGATGAAGCCAACATACAGTCAAAGCAAACAATTTTAATTTTTTCCTTGCAGAGTGAAGAAAGAATGGTGGGATCAAATCCCAAATCCAGCAAAGAGCCATTTGGTTGTAAAAAATGTCAAGGTAATTCAAAGACTTTTTTGCAAAAAATACCTTTTCCTGATCACCAGAAGTAGAATATGTAACAAGTGCTATTGTCTGGCTAGTGCAGGGGATACTAAATACAATTCACATGTGTCCTAAATCTCATTTGTATCTTTATTAGTTTTCAGTTATGTGCTACATTGATGAAATTAAGTTCCCTTTCCATGACTTAAAGCAGAGTCATATGGAAAACCAAATGTAAGTAAGATAAAGGAAAAAAACCCAAACATCTGTTTTACAGCATAAAATAGTTTCCTATTACATAACATTAACTGTCCTTTCCTTTTGACTTCCAAAAACAGAAGTTGCAAGAACTGCCTGGCTCAAAGTTTGTCAAGCCAAAACTTCAAAGGAAAAGATAACATCAGAAATATTGAGAAATCTTGCAGTTGCCACAGCAAGTCTGGAGAGTGGTTTCCAAAAGGCAGCAGTGCAGTTTTAACCCCTGAGACAATTCTGCTTGAAGAGTCCATAGAAATCTGCGAATGTTTAACAGACGTTGAGGCTGAGAGCGAGGAAGAGACTAGTGACCAGATCACCATGTTTGAGCCTTGCGAGAGCAGTGTCAGTGCTTTCAGAGAGGACACTGAACACAATGATGCACTAGCTAGCATGTTTATTGAGCTCCTGGCAGATGAAAACAACGTGCAAGAAAATAAAGACTCAGACGTCATCACTGGTGAGAATAAAATCTTTGAGAAACTTGAGTCAGAAAATCCATCACAGCAAAATCGAAAAGAAAGTGCAGCCCAGAGTCAGCAGCTGTGTGATATTTCTCATACAGTCTCCTTTTTCACCAAAGCCTCTCCAGATGACTACAATGGTAGTACAGCCAGCAAGAAGTCAGAACAATCAGAAGAATCCTTTGAATCTGGCTATCAGAGCTCCAGCATAAATTCTGCTTCTCTGGATTCAAGAGATCTTGAACCTGTGGTTCATCAAAGCCTTTTCCCATGCAGTTCTGAAAGTCAGCATGACTCGTGTGTCCTGATCCAGGAATCTCCAAATAAACCATCCTTTGGGACGAAAAGAGACAGAATAAGCAACGCTGCACACAAGAGTTTTGACACCCTTGTGTCTCCATCCACGGGGCTGTGTAGCTCTGCGTATAAGAGCTTTGACACCCTTATCTCTCCATCCGTGGAGCCCTGTGGTTCTGCCTACAAGAGCTGTGACACCCTTATGTCTTCATCCGTGGAGCCCTGTGTTTCTGCCTACAAGAGCTTTGATACCCTTATGTCTCCATCCGTGGAGCCCTGTGTTTCTGCCTACAAGAGCTTTGACACCCTTATGTCTCCATCTGTGGAGCCCTGTGGTTCTGCATACAAGAGCTTTGATGTTCTTGTGTCTGCCTTCAAGGAACCAAGCAGCTCTGCGTATAAGAGCTTCGATACCCTTCTCTCTCAGTCTGTGGGTAACAGTAGCCTGACTCTGTGTTTTGAAAATGTGTGCTCCTCACCACCTTTGACATGCTTTTCAGAGACAGCAGAACTTAGCTGTAGAGATCAAATTTATCGACCCCCTAGCAATCAGACGTGTTATACCAACTACAGATCTCCCTGCACTGAGCTTGATTTCCAAAACACCTGTTCAGAATGTATTGATTTTCCATCTTTCTCCACACATGCCAATGACAGTACTTCAGCTTTCCTACCAGAGGAAGAAATATATAAGCAAGTAACATACCAAAATGTTCAAAAGAAAGCCAGTATAATTTCTTGCCCCATTGGACCTCAGCCATCTGGTTATCAACCTTTTGATAATGCAGTTAAATGTAATGGTACTACATACTGTGACAGTGACAATGAGGTTGTCTCTAGGTCACTATATGAGCCCTTCATTCATCTTTTGTACAAGAACCTGAGAGAAACACCTTCAGATACCATAATCTGTGCACCTGAGCAGAGGACAGATGACCATGTATGTTGGATTGTACAGGGTTTTGACTGCAGCATCGTCCCAGGTTTAGCCTCTAGTGAGAATATCACACAGGCCAATGATGGCAGCCTTTGGATCATCAACTCTAATGAGCTGTCTGGTGATAGCAAAGATGAAAATACCAGCAGAGATGAACAGCAGTTGCATTTGTTAGAGCTGAACTGTGAAGATTTTAACAGCGGAGAAAGAACTATGAAGGGGACAAAACCTAACAGCTGTAACTATACTGGTAAAGGAATGGAAGAGAGCAGCCGTAACAGACTAAATACTGACTTTCACTGCCACACAAACAATCACTTGAGGAAACTTGGAAATGCAGGGGAAAATAAAGAGGTAATAAAGCATGTGGCAGGCAAGAGGTGCGGCTCAGCAGCTAACTTACCAGAAGAGTCACTGGACAGCATTGGGCTAAACTTAGAAAGAAAAACTGCAGAGCCACTGGAGCTCCTGGTCTCAGACAAGTTGTCACCTCCTCTTTTTGTGGATAATTCCTGTCCTGATTCTCACACCATTCACAGTGAGGGTTCCAGACTGGCACCTGCAGTTAAAAAAAGACCAGTAGAACTATTGAGGGAAAACAACAGGAAGAATGAGAAAAAAATTAAACTTGTACAAGCCCTTGCACAGGAGGACAACTGCTACATGAAGGTAGCCTAGCCACACTTGCCAAGACTGAACCAAACCAGTCTTTGGAAATAAACTGTATGGCAAATTGAAATGTTGCTTGTTCTTCCAATCTTGCGTGAAGTGAGGGCTGCTGCAGTTCAGACACAGATTCAGTAGATTGTAACATTCATGCCTGCTGCAGGGCTGGCAACCAATATGCGATGCAGGCCCCTGGGGAACAGTAGGGGTTAGCAGCTAACAGTTGCAGCTACAACTCTATCAGGGGGGCGAAGTTTCTCCGGCTGTGATTGTTCTCTAAAAGTGAGCAGCAGCTGCATAAAGTAGGAGTTCTTAGTACAGCTCCTGTGCTTATTGCCCTGGCTCTGTATGTTGCTTGGGAAGCACACAAAGGTGATGTGGAAGGTGCTGACACACCTGGAAGTGGGATGTAGGTGCAGGTCAAAGGGGAAGTGACTGATTTCCACTGACAGCATCACGCAGCTTCCATAATTTATTTATTGGGGGGCGAGGGGAGGAGGGAGATCCTGTGTGCCTAGCCCCAGCATGGGGTGTATGTTTCTATACTTTCTCAATCAAGACCTGAAATAAAGATTACTGTCATTTGGGCTTAAGCAATGCTATTAATGATGATTAGTTTCTTATTCTATAGAAGCAAGCAGAGTTATTTCATACTTCTACAGCTGTAAATGGAATCAGACATTTCTAAGCAGTGTTTTCCGAGAAAGTTTATACAGTTCATGGTCAGACTCCGTAAATTGGTGCAGCATTTTTTTGGCTTCTAGTTCTTCTCCAATCAGAATGGGAATTACGCCTGCAGCTTTAAGGCAGCATATACTTCTTGTTGGATAATTGTTCCAGAAGTTTTACTCACGACTCTAAGCTTTTCTAGGGCATTATCGTATATTTTGGTATGGTAAATTCCACCTTAGCATGCTGGCAGTGGCACAAAATAGTTAAGAACCGTTAAGTAATTTTATGTTTATTAAAATATATATGTGTCTTCTCATCATTTAGAAAACCCTATTTGCATTGCCATTCTTAAGGAAGGAAACTGTAATGCTAAGCACAGAAACTGGTTTAACGTGTTTTGTAAGTAAGATTTTTCTACTGCAAATCTCTCTTCAAAGTTCAGGTTGGCCAAGTAGTAGAGATATCTATGCATCAATTTTGCAGCGGTAAAAAAGGGTATGTAAGCCCTGGAAGGAGACTCGCACTGAAGTGTCTGTATTTAGATGTGATAGTTACTATTTATATAGGCACTGGTTGGTAGCTCACTTTCACTAAGGTAGTGGTTAGTGAAAGATCTTACTGCTTGTAGCTAAGGTGCTGATGAACATGTTATTTGGTTTTACTGAAAATATCAGGTTAAATTTTATTTTCACTCAGGTGAGGTTTAATTCTATCAGAAATACTCTTTCTTTGCATGAGCGCAGTCACTGCTGTGGTTAACGTCAGCCCAAATCCTGTGAAGTGGGAGGGCTGTGAGGCAGACAGATGAAGAGGCTTTCCAGGACCCATCGGCCAAACCTGCGCTGAAATGGTGGAACAGGAAGATGCATAGAGGCCATGGCCTCATGAGTAAGCCGACTCACTTCCCTAAATCCAAGCAAAGTCAAGTTTAAGCAAGAACCCACAGCTAGTTATGGCAGCTACCCGGAATGGGTTACTCACTGTTTACTGTAGTAGCACAGGGCTGTTAAGGGAGGTGCAGAGAGACCAATGGTGCTTTTTTCCCCTTCTGTTCTTGCACTCTCCCTTGTGCTCATTGTGAAATCCTCCTGGAAGGCTTGCACTTGCCTGGAGCAGCCAGGGGAGGTCTGCTCAGGCCAGGATTGGAAAGCTGCTTGCTGTGGAACTTCTCTGCTGAGCCCCAGCCTCATTCTGCCTTTCCATGTTTTTTTTCTTCTACATAGCTATTCCCCCATCTGCTCATTTCCATTGGATGGCTTTCTGTGTGTGGGTATTCTTCCCCTTTTCTCCCTTCAGTATTTCTTTGGCAAAATCAAACTGTAACTCTTTGAGAAGGGGGATCCCTATTCCTATGCCTTTGCGTAACCCAGAACTGGTGACAAACACTGGGGCTGGCTGGGCAGCTTGGCCAGCTCACCCCGTCCCGCAATAGGCACAGTGCACGAGTGCAGTGGGAGCCAAGATCATGTTCCATCCTCCACTGCCTCCACTTTTGCCATCTGGAGCTATTGCCGGGCTATAAAACGCAGGTAGGTTTCAAATGACGGGTTTCTGGCCTAAGATGATGATCTGCCCGGAGTGTGTGGGAGTTCTGACTTTGGGCTGGCTCCCAGGACTGCCAGCGAGGTGTACTGGCCTGAGCCGCGCCTCCTGGGGACCAGCCTGTCCTTGCAAAGGCAGCTTACCCTCTCGAGAGGGGAACTCCATTCCTGAAGGCTGGCACCCTCCAAGCATGTCCTTTTTAGCTAGCAGAGGGCTCCTAGCAGGACAGAGAATTACTGATCGTAGTAAGTGTATTTTCAGTGTTTTTCAGTTTGTTTTGTAAGACTGCAGTGCAAGTAGAGGCTTATGCCAAGTTTTAGCCTCGTTAATGCTATTTATTACTTGTTCACTCCACCTCCACATCTTTCTCACCTGGCTGCCTACCAAGTATGAGCAGCCTGGCTCACCATGAGTGAAATGGGTTCCTGAGAAAAGCGAGTGTCTTCCCAGTTCTGATACGCTGCTTTTTCTTTGCAGAGAATGCCACAGCCTTGCCTTTTTTTTCTTTCTCTTCTTTCTGAACACTGTTAGCTCCTTGGAAATGTGCACGTGTACAGAACAGTTGTTGGCAAATTCCTATCAATCACAAGGTTTGTCATTGCCTGTGGAAAACTGACAATAACCACAAGACAAGGGTGAGACTAGTATGGAGCAGGAGCTTGAGGATGTGGGGTCAAGTTCTTGGGGGTAGGGACAAGTTAATTTAGGGTGAGGGAGGGGTCGGCTTTTTCAGTAACTTGTCCCTGCATCTTGCTTTGGGACCCTGCATTGTTCAGGCAGGGTGCAAGGATGTCCAAGTGCTTATTGATCATGAGCTACAAACTTCATCTAAGAAAACAAGTTCTTTTAAGTGTTGCATTCTAGCAGTGACATGGCCAAAGGAACAAAGGGTGAGAGAACCAAATGAGGGGGTTGTGACTTCCAAAACCCTGCTCCCTAATGTTTACCTCTGACTGTGGAATTATGTGACAAAACTCCTTAGTGAATAGAGACTGAGAGGACAGTGTACTTTCTCCCAGCCATGTCTTTTCTGTAGAAAACTTAGGGAGCATGATTTGTATTCTAGCTCTGACAGAGCTCCTTCCAAAGTGTGTAATTTTGCATTCAGTTGCTTTCACAAAGAATAGGTGTTTTTGACTAATTCTCAGGGGAACTGTGCCTGTGGAATGCACAGGCGCACACACACACACAGAGATCATTTCCCCCCCGGTGCAGATTGCCGAGTACCAGGTCTGCCCTGGGTTCCCACATGGTGATGTATCATGATTACACATTACCCAGAATTTTAATTTTTTTCACCACACTGCTATGACTGAGGCAGCCATGTTATGCTGTCAGCTTTTCATCAGATGTTGCAGCCACAGCACACAGCCCTCGAGGCCCCTCTGACTAAATTGTGGCGATGAGGTTGGAAGCCATACAACAGCTCCTCATGAATTTGCTGACAATCAGAGCAATGAGACCAATGAACCAGTCTGGTTTTCAGCTGCGGGACTATTGTCTCAAAGCAGATTGCTCTGAAGCAAAGGAAAAAAACAGCCGAGTGAAGAAGGGGGCACTTTCCAGGTACTTCACTGGCATTTAACCAAAGTTTAAGCTTACTAAATTGCCATACCTTGGTGTGTTTTCCCAGAGGACCTAATCACAGCTATCAGCAGCACTGTCAAGTCCTGACTATTCTCATTCCTTTGACAAGCTGAGAAAGCAATGTTGAGAGGAACTTTACATCTCTGCTGTACTATGCCCAAAGGTGCTTTGGTCTACTTGTCCCTTGTGCTGTCCTGCTTCCATCCCGTGCCTTCTGTGGCTTTCCACAACATGGAAATTTCCACACAGCCACCTTCTACCCCTCCAGCAAGACTGCAAAATGAAAGAGAAGAAAAACTGGCTGCAGCCCTAGACGAACAGAGTAAGGAACCGACTGCTGTGGCACATTAGCTACATAGGGGCAAGGAGCAGCTGTTTTCTTCTTTTTTTGCTCTTAGCTAGAATACTTTCTATAAAACTCCGACCATCTGTGCAGGAGACCTAAAATTCTGTATTCTGAATGCAGGGAGGCAATTGTAATGACAAGAGTCGGTATAGTACCAGCCTCTGACCCTCAGCCTGTCTCTGGTAGAGGGACGACTGCGCTAGACCTGCCCCAGTCCATGGAGCGTGGCAGGCGTCCTAAGGAGCTCCTGTCCCAGTTCAGTGGCAGATGGGCTGCTTCCATGGCCCTGCCTGTGTTCCATTGTATAAGAGCAGGGCATTCACAGCAGTGTGGTGTTTGTCCCCTGCCTGAAGGTTACCAAGTCGGTGACTAACATATCACTGGGACTTTCCTACTTGCTGCTGTTTCCCCAGCTCTTAGACATGGGGGAATTTGCCATAAGCTGAAGACTTTGAGGTTGGCTGCTTCTCCCCAGCTCAGCCACTGCTGGTTTCACTTGTAGTGAGCCACCCACACAGCAACAAGAATTGTAACAGGGTGAGAAAGCACTGGACTGCCTTCTGGGGGTAGAATTTCCACACCTGGCTCGGGGTTGTAACCAGTCCCTGGCTCTTGACTTGATGCTCTGGGGAGTTGCTGTGAGAACCAGGTCTGCACTGGCCCCGGGTAGAGCAGCCAGCAGAGGTCTCGAGGAGCTGGCTCTGGCAGGCTCACGCTGTGCTGGGTTCGCTAACCACTGCGTGGGCCTGACAGGCTCTGGGCGTGAAGGT